TCTCTCTCTCTCTCTCTCTCTCACACACACACACACACACACATACTGCAATGATGCAATTAATTTTGAGATGTCGGAATTTCCCCTAGTTGCATTACTTCTCTGACCAATGCTCCATGCAATATCTCATGTAGAATTGAAAAGTCAGGAACATAGATAGGATATACTTTTGATTTAGATTCCTGTGTTAAGTAAGGGGTTGAACTTGGTGACCTTATAGGCCCCTTTCAACTTCATTATTCTATGATTCTATGAACATGGAGATGTTGATAAGATGTTAACCATGAAATTAAGTGGGGTGTTACTTTTTAACTCCAGTACTGCACTCAGGTGGGGGTTGAAGAGAACAAGAGAGGGGGCAGGAGAGAGGGAGAAGAACTGAGAATAAAGCCTAAGAATATTAGCTCTTCAAGCAATACACACACACACACACACACACACACACACACACACACACACACACACACACACACACACACACACACACACACACACCCCTACCTTTCTGGTCCCTTCCTATCTGTTCTATGACTCAGCAGCTTCTGCAGCTCCCGCTCCCGCACCATACTCTTAGTTTATTATGTCTGTTTCATCACTTCAGCTAGAGCTGCTTTCAAGGCAGTCTCAAAGAACATTTCCCCCCTAGGACTGATTATCCTTTAAGGTTAGTTTATCTTAATTCAAAGATTAAAATCTGCTCCTCCCACCTCTACCCTTCCAGTCCCCCTTGGCCCACAGCTCCCTGGGCATTTTGAAGGGGAGTCCACAGCAGGGACTGTTTATGGGGCTGCATCCTTCAGAATGCATCAATTCCAGCTGAGCGTCTATAGCATTCTAGACTTCACAGGGTGCTTTACAGGAGACAGGTAAAAACACAATGGAGCAAACAGTTTGGTTGCCTGGTGACATCCTTTCAAATTTCTGCTCATCTTGTGATGTGCCTTATCACATTTTGAACAGTTGGACATTTTTGAAGCTTATTTGAACCTGTGTCTGTTAAGTGTCAGTCTAACCATTATGCCCAACTGGGTCTCTACAACAGTGTCTTCTAGGTCAGTGGTCCCCAACCTTGGGCCTCCAGATGTTCTTGGACTACAACACCCAGAAGCCTTCACCACCATCTCTGCTGGCCAGGATTTCTGGGAGTTGAAGTCCAAGAACATCTGGAGGCCCAAGATTGGGGACCATTGTTCTAGGTAGTCGCCTAGTGGCACTAAACAGATGTAGGGTGGTTTCCATGTTGCAGAAAGGGGAATCATAGTGCTGCCACCTTCCTGATCTTCCATGCTGACAGAAAGACTGACTGGTACGTGTATCAGAGGTGGCACAAACAGTCTATAAGGGAGGGGGGAGGAGATAACAACTGCACTCAGCTGAAACTGGTCAGTTTGCAAGGCAACATCTGGCGACTGTCCTCTGTAACTTGTCAGTTGTATTCTGGCTCAAGGACAGGTCTGAAGACTTGCCTTAAGGGGCCAACCTGACAAGCAGCTTTCTTGGCCTGTGCCTTGGAAATAACCTGCTTCTAGAACTGTCAGAATGCCCTCATTCCAGAATCAGCACCGATGGGATGCCATCAGCACAACTGAAAGGCAGCCAGGATACTTAAACAAGGGGAGAATAGCTTCAAAAAATGCATCATGGCCTGTGCTAGAGAACTTGATATCCCTAAAACAGAAATGTTTTCTTCAGAGGCAATTCTGCATCCCATGCAAGAACAAGAACAACAAAAAGTAGAACATTTTAGCACAAGCAAACATCAGTTATCTTTGCACAATGGACACACTCACACAAAGATGTGAACAGGAAACTGATTGGCTTGGTACCACCCTTTCTGTATCACTCATGCTTAACTTTTCAGCCTGCTTGAGTTTGAATATGTAAGTGTGCTACTAAACATTTGCCTTATTTTTTCCTCACCAGTGCAGTCTGGAACTGCCCCACAATGCATGGACCATGTGTCTCCTCTCCCCAACAACACCAACACCAGGTGAAGGCTTCTGGTGCCAGTGGAGGATTTAGTGTTGCAAGCAACTGAAGGGGAAATCCTAGTGGGAGGAAAATTTCAGCCCCATCCCCTCCCACACAATGAGCCCAATCCAGATTCCCCTACCTGCACGGCTTATATTTGCAATTAAAAAACGCACACAAGAGTGCACACTACATGTGCCATGCATATGTTTTACACTACACATGGATATAGTTTAGCAGTCATGACATGTGTAACTTAGCTATCTGCACATGAATCCCTATGTGGCTTGTGGAGCTGATGCAGAATGATTCAGCACAACCCTAACTTTGGAAATAGTGTGTGTGGTTATTCCCCCTAAACACAAGAGTCAATGATGATAAGCATTCCAGCTTCCTACATCAGATGACAATTGCTCTGTTCTTCTCAGAAAAAAACAGGCCCCTTCTCCTACCACTCTACACTTCTAAGTGGAAGAACTCCAGCATCCCACACATTTGGCAAAGCAGGCAACTCTGAAGAGCTGACACCTCCATCCCCTCCCCCATGACAGGCAAGAATTCAGCATGGAAGGCAGTATTCTTACCATGAAACAAAGCTGTTATCACAACACTTTCACTAGGAAAAAGATAACTACTACTCTTTTTAGTACTCTAGGGCTTTTCCCAAAATTAATCAACTATTTGTCCTTCTAAAGCCACTTTCTCTTGCATTCACTTCTTGTATCTTCATTAACAAAAGAAATTATCTTGTAATTTATTCACATTATATTTTTTCTTCCTTAGCATTTTTTGGTCTACCCATGTAAAGCAAATTCTGAGTAGTTAGGGACCCACATTTAAAACCACAAAGTGCCTCTTTCTTCCTGTTTTACCTCTTCAGGAGCATTGATAACTCCTATGTTGTAACCATACTGGAGGGATCCAATGACAGCAACCACCACAGCTGTTACAAGGGGACATGTTATTTTCTGGAGAAGAGAAGGAGACAAGGCAATTAGTTCACTCACATGACCCTTGAATATTTCCTGACTTTCTGTGCAAAGACTCAATTCAGTTTCATAAAAACCAAAGTATAAACGAGACATTCATTTCCAATTCATATATAACCAAACCCTATATTTACTAGAGATTCTAAGCATGCTTGGTTTGTTAAATATAGAAATTAAGCTGAACAAAATGGCTGAATTCCCCCTTTCCTAATTATTTGATTTAATACTTTGAGTACATATTCCAACAGACAAATATTTAAGCAAGAGTATAGTTCTCTTTAAAGTTTCTTTCTCACTCTTTAAACAAGTCTCATTCCAAAACTTCCTCCTCATATCTTTATTGTTTGTTATGTGCTGTCAAGTCACATCTGAATTATGGTGATCCTAGCAGGGGTGCAAAGTATGAGACATTTTAGGAGTGGTTTTATCAAAGTCACCCACCAGTGAATTTTCATGGCCCAAAGGGATTCTGAACCCAGGTCTTTTGAGGCCTAGTCTGCCACCACACTGGCTCATGGCTTAGCCAGCTATATTGCCTGATTTGGGATTCTCTGTTTCAAGAATACCATGCCAACATGGGAAGACTCTTGTGGTGACCTCAAGCTTGATGGGATCTCCGGTGGTTGAGGATATGAAAACTGTTCCATCAAAATCCAGTTTGACAAATCCAATCAGTTTAGTCCTTCCTCCATCCAATGCTTTGGACTTGCTACAGTACGGCTCTGCAGTATTTGGTGGTAGTTACTGGGAAAGATGGTTAAAATCTATGTGGGGCTGCCTTTGAAGATGGTCATCTACTGCAACTGGTCCAGAACCAAGCTGCACGGCTGGTGAGTGGTGGGGCCACTAGGGGACACATCAAGCCGATTTTGTTTAAATTACATTGGCTACTAGTTGCTGCCCGGGCCCAATTCAAGGTGCTTGTTTTGACATATAAAGCCCTAAAGGGCTTGGGCCCTGGATACCTGAAGGACTGCCTCCTTCCATATGAACCTACCTGGCAGTTAAGATCTAGCCAGGGGGCCCTTTTGAAAGAGCCGTCCCTCAAAGAGGTAAGAGGGATGGCTTGTAGACAAAGGGCGTTTTCGGCAGCTGCCCCCAGACTATGGAATGCCACCCCAATTGAGATTCGTCTGGCGCCGACGCTGATGACATATTGGCACCAGGTCAAAACCTTCCTGTTCCAGAAGGCTTTTAATTGAAATAATATCAACTGTGGGTCCTGATGGCAACTTTTAGAGTATATATTTTAATTATATTTTAATTGTTTTATCTTTTTTACTTTAGTTAATTTGCTGTAAGCTGCCCAGAGACCTTTGGGTAGTGTGGGTGGCATGTAAGTTATACATACATACATACATACATACATACATACATACATACATACATACATACATACATAAAATGGTGTTTTGTGCTCTTATTACTGCCAGGTTAATTAAATCCCTACTATCTTCCAAAGGCTGTTATAATTTATAGGCAGATTTAAGACACAAGTTCTGTCTTAAACTTGGAAATAAACTATTAAAAAGCATTAATGAAAATAAGGCATTAGAATGGCAGCATTTAAATGACAGCATACAAAGTATCAGGGAGAAAAAGCCTTACATTAGACTTCAAAGTTAACATTAGTGTTAATTGCTATTATGTCTCTGTGTGCCTACTCCTGCCGCCCTGAAAGCAGGCATCCATGCACCTTCCCTGATAACTAGCTCTACAAAAGTAATCCCTAACCTTGGTGGTTCTAATATTTCTGGAAAACTCCCAGAAGCCCTATCCAGCCTAGCCAATAGGCAGAATCTCAAGCAATCACCTTAATGTATTAGAATATTGTGGTAAGCAAGCTATTAACCCCCAAAGTTCCAGAGTCCCACAGCTGGAAACTGGGGTTGGTCTTTGTTGCCTTTATAGCCTGCAGGGAGCTGTGCAGCTGTGACAAGACTATGCTTTCAGACAAAGCCCTTTTTAGTGTTCTGCAAAGCACTGCATTTGAAAGTGGACAAAGAAATTACTGCAGTTGGTCTTGTTGGAGGTGACTAACTGTCCTCAGTGGAATAGTTTTCACATTGGGACCACTGTCTTAACAATTATGTAATTGGATTTGTATTCCATCTGGAAAAAAAAACAGATTGGGGGAGGCAATTCCAGAGTGAATTAAGAGAACATCTGAAGGAGCCAAAAGTGTTTTTCAAAGCTTAATTCAACAAATTAAATGTTTTCAGGGTCCAATGTTAACAGAAATGAACTACACTGCTCTTTTTCAATGTTAAACATCAATATCTTGCTATTCAGAGCCAAGGTTCCAAATACAAGAACTACAGCTGTGCTTCTGAGGCAGAGTTCTTAGGACAGAAGTCTGCTAAAGAAGGATGATGAGAAGAGCCACTTATGCTACACACTGAATTCTCTCTTTAAGTCATCTCAGTACATCCCATCCAGCTATTTGAATCCCAGTTTGGAAGGCCCCTCATTTTATCCTATCACTTCACAGGTTCTCTTCCAGATTTCCTGCATGCTTTTCCTCTTTGGCCAGGCAGTTCAAAGTTTGAGAGTGTCCAAAAAACCAAGACATATTGGCACTAGGAGTCTACTACAGGATGGATTGCCAGTAGTAGTTCCAGACTTCTGGCCACTAACCAAAGAGAAATTGAAATGCTGATATCACTGCAATACATTGTCTAAACTTACCCTTCCAAAACTACACAATTCTAAGTAGAAACCTGGCTTGCATGCTCCCCTACCTGCTCTCTCTGCATTATCATTTGTATATGAATTTACACTTCTACTTTTTGAAAAAACAAACAAACCCAAAGATTCAAAAAATAGCACTTCCTATTCAGAATTCAAACACTGAAGAGACTGGTGAGGGCTGTATTCTTGTCTTATTATTCTTTCTGCTCCCAGCTATTTTACTTCTGGTGAGGCTATGGTATTTTTTGAAAGACTGGGAATAATGGGGGAGGTTATTCTGAGGTGAAACAATAACAGTGTGTTTGTGGGGTGGGGGGAAGAATCATTGCCTTCTGCTCTCTTTTCTGGCTCTTTCTTTGCTTTAAATCTCACCTTCTGATCCACTTTTTGCAGTGATGACACTGTAATACAGAGAGCTACTGCCATCCATGTCCAGCTAGCTGTTTAGTAGGGCACAATGCAAAAGTAAGAACAAGATATATAGATACATATGCAAATTGCACAAGACTGGTTGTGCAGGGTTGGGATTTCCCATAACTCATGCATTCATGGCACCTCACATCTGCCTAATAATTACAGCAAAATATTTTACTACCATCCCTCTTGTTATCGAGAGATTGCTGAAGCTGACGATTTCAGGGCAGGCATGAGACGTGAACTAAAGACTTCCTGCTGAACAGCCTACACATGTGGTCGTAGAACTGTATCAGCTTACAACTACAACACAATTCCAAGTGATGGTAGACAACCAGGGTTCAACAATGTATAGAATGTGTCTATCCACATGCATACATCTCTTTGCCCTGCCAGGCCGCCTGTTTGCACTCTTTTTTCTGCAGACTCATCATTACCTCTGAGGCTCCTGATTTTGTCCTAAATGCAATGAGATTCCCTGCTTTGCTCTATGCTTTCTGCTAGGTAGATGACAGGAAACATCTAAAACAAGGAAGAATTTTTGCCTAAAAATATTTCTTTGGCTTGGTTATCTGTCTCTCCCAACTACACCACCGTTAGCTAAAACATTTGGCCCCTTGCAGTGTCTGCTCGAAAGTAGCCAGACGGCAAGGCTCAGAGGGAAGAGGAAGGCCAGACACTGTGACAAAACCGGTAGGAAATTCCACATCTGTCCCTGGCATAGTCACATCCTTTCTCCTCCGGCTCCTCCAGCTGTGGGTGATAAAAAAGGGGGAGGGGCGTCTCATTCCACATCTCACCAAGGCCTTAAAACCTCGTTAAAGTGAAAATTCCTCTCTCACTTGTTTAACTCCAGAGGAACCCACGCCTTGACATCCTCCAAATGACCTTGACAGAGATTTCTGGCAAGGCCCTCCCTTCCAAACAGGGCACAAATGAATCGCCAGCGTCGATAATGGCCAGGGGCTGAAGGTTTCCCGAATAAGTAAACAACTCCGCGATATCTTTCAAGGGACTCCAAGGCGAGTCAGCTTTTTCCAGGCGGGACCTGTCCTCCTCTGGGATGCATGCGTGCGTGCGTGCGTGTATGTGTGTGTGATTCCACACGCGCTTGCGCGCGCCTCTTTGGTGCTCTCGGGCACATGCTTGTCTTCGTCTGCTTTCCTCTTCCGTTATCTCGCCAGCGCCGGCAAGTGCCCCATAAAGCCAGCTCGGCCCGTGCCGCAGGGCTCGGAGTGAAAACGGAGGGTCCCCAGCCCCGACCTCAGTCCCCAAAGGAGTGACGCCCAGGCTCAAAAAGGCTTTCCCCGCAGGTCCGGGCATCCCTCGAGCGCTCTCCCCCCCCCCCCCCCCGCCCCGCCAGCAACGCAAACCTCTCCGGGCGCTCTCGGGACTTTTCTCAAGCCCTGATGCTGCCTCCGCTCAACGGCGCCATCTCCGCTGAGGGGCAAGGAAGCAAACCCCCCAACTGCGGGTGACTGCTGCCGGGCATGCCATGGACCCAAACGCGGCGAGCCTGACCCGGGCCTGGCACCGACTTCAGCCGAACCTTTGGAGCCCTTACCGCTTTGCTCTCCATCGGGCTGGGCAGCCGCCGCCGATCCCGCCTCGGAACCCCGGAGCCGGCTTGCGGAGGGAGGCGCGCCCTCGCGCGCGCAACCGCGGCTTTCCCGGCAAGGGCGGCCCTTCGCGCCCCTCGAGGTAACCCCCTTCTTCGCGCGCCTCGCCCGGCCTGCCGGCGCCTCTCTCGACTGCGCGGCCTGACTGCCAAGGGAAATTCGTAATCTCGCCCTCTCGCTGTGCCTTTTTAGGGTGGCTCTCGGATGCGCATCTATTTATGGCTTCTGGCTTCCGAGGGCGGGGACGATTAGGGAGGGACGCAGAGATTTGCTCCCGCCCAGGGCCACGGTTACCTTAAATAAATAAACAAATAAGCATCAGAGGATTTTTTAAAAAAAAAATATATATATAGTGACTTCAGCCTTGGCATCACTAGCAAATGAAGGCTGTGCTTTCTTTGCTCAGAGTTCCAATTACTGTGCTCTCAAGCAGTTTTTTTGCCTGTTTCACGGATGCGCTAAGTATCAGAAACACGATTAGGAGGGTGATGGAAAGATTTCTCTAAATCTCCAACGCAATCAAATTTTATAGTGCTTCACGAAATAGTGGATGTTGAATAAATATTTGTGTAGTAGCCCCATTCTCTATAACGGGGTTTCTTCTGTATATTAGAACAGTTCAAAACAGATAAAATAAATAATGCCTTTAAGAAATTAAGAATTTCCACACTTAATCCAGCATTCTGTTCTCGCTCTAAACATCTTCCGATCTTTTAGTAGAGCCAGCCCAAGACTTTCTGGCACATAAAACCAAAAGTCAAAATCTCCACTCCTACTGTAAAAGTTATTAAATTAATTAAACTCCCATTTTTAAAGACACTGGAAAAGTGTTGCCTGAGGTAACTTCTTTTGTATCTTCCTAATATTAGGTGTGACTGGCCTGATTTGTGGTGTTCTAATACATGTACTGACCCAATGTAATGTAGTGCATAAAGTGACAGACTAGGACTCAGGAGACTAAAACTATTCCTTAAATACCTCACTTACCTTGAAAGCCCTACTAGGGTTGCTATAAGTCAGTTCCAACTTGATGGTACAGAACAAAATACATACAAAATATTCTACAGTGCTCTCAGTGGGATTCATGTAAATAATGTGGCCTGTTTCATGGAAGAAATATTGCATTCAAAAACACTTCATTTCAAATACCCAAAAATTTATTTCTCACTAATGTTTTCTCCCTAATCTGCCATCTGAACCCATTTCTTACTAAATGATTCTGGGGGCAAAATTGACACCCTCTATTCCAACTCCGCATAAAAACTGTATAATTTGCTGGACTGTCTTTGAGAATTATACAATTTTATTTCATTTTCAGGACTGAATATATAGGGGATATATGGGAACTTTATGGGGAGAGGGGTGGTCTATGTGTACTTGAAAGAAACTGCCCATTCCCAACTTACTGTCACAATGTTTCTCCTACTGAGCATTTCCCAGTGTGCTTCTTCTAACAAGGAAACCATCACAGCCACAAATGACAGGCTGATTTCAGAAGTATTGTACTGTTGCAGCACTTCCTGGCTGCCGCCGCCGTCATCACTGTGCTCTGCTTACGAGGGAGACGTGACATCCTGTGAGAGGCTGTCTTGTCTGAAATGTCCTAGTCTCGCTGTCTTTCAGGCCACCTTGTAGTCTTTAATAGAGAATAGCTCCAGTCTAGCATCTTTGCTATAAGCTTAGTACCATGTTGTCATGGTAACAAGGCCTAGCAACCATGTGAGAAAATGATGTATTTAAGGGATGTTGTAAGCTGTATGTTCATCTCTTGCAGGGATGTGGATCAGGCAAAAACAAAAGAAAAATAAGACAGTCTATGTTGGCCATTATATTATATATATTATAATTATCTGAAATCTCCAATGCACAGTTGATCAGGCAAAATCCAAAGAAACAAAACAAAACAAGATAAAAATGTGGCATCTTATAGACTATTATATTTTAATATGAGCTTTCATAGATCAAGTCCATTTCTTCAGACATATGGAATAAAATGTAATACAGAATGAAATACAGCATTCAGAAGTAAAACATTCAAACATTTTGAATATGATTGCACAGACTGACACTTCCCCTTCTAAAACTACAACAATGCACAGTTGTAATTCTTGTAATAAAAATATTTTTGAACTTACCCTTTTCTGCCATCTATGGCTTGTGAAAATGCTGCTGTTGCAGTCTCGGTAGTTATATACATTTTGTACTTCCCACTATTATTTTTATACTTCAGCTTTCACCTATGTTGATGGGGGCTTGTGTTTGACAAAGCTGTAGAGAGCACAAACAGAAGACATATTGTGATTACCTTTTTTTATTTTTCAAAACTGTACTACCTCAGACGCTGGGGCCCAGAACTGGAGGGGCAGTGGCAATGTGTAGCCTTCATAATTACATTGTATGCTGCCCCAGAAAATGCTTTAAACACTGTGGTGCAGCACATAAGTAACACACTTTTAAATGTCTTTAAGACATATAAACACATTCACGTGCACAAATTCCCTATACATAGACAAGGAAGGAGTCAAGGAGCAGACTAAGCAATTTTGCCCTTGACAAACAGTCACAACCACAGCTGTTTTTCCCTCTAGAAGGAGCACTCACCCATCTCATTCTTGACTCTCACTCTTATTCTGTACTCTGAAGTGGTAACAATCCAGAAAAAGGTTTAGCATCTTGTGTGTTGTTCATGGAAACGAGAGCCACAGGTTACCCAAAACTCTGGCACTGACACCTGTGTTCTGTGGAATTATAAAGGAAACATTGCTGGACTAATTGAACTAGAAACTGGGTCTCTTGAGTCATGGCTCTTGATGGACCAGGGAAAGATGATGAGGTCAACACTTGTGAATCTGTAAGCTTCAAAAAAGAGGGAATGAAAACCAGGGTCTCCAATCCCTCAAGAGTTACTTGGAGACAACCACTTTGAATATAGTCTGTGGAAAGTGTAATCACAGTGTAAAACCACAGATTTGACTCTTGGCATTGGAGAGTGGCATTTATGCTTAAATTTGTCAAGGCTCTGGCCCTGATAGTCTCAAGACTATGCCTGGATCACCCCTGGTGCAAAAGGATCAAATGGGTATTGGGAGGGCTTGGAGCATTTATTGGACCTTCCTGGTATGTTTGCTTTGAAATCTGCTTCCTCTGGACCAAGGTGGATACACTCTGGAGATCCAGAGGCCAGAGGTCACCAAACTAGAACTGGCTGGAAGTCCTCCTTCTGATGAAAGGAGGTGCTTAGAGGCAAAGTGCCCCGATTTGAATGAGAAAGGCAACTGCTAAATAATTCCAGGAGCAACAATGCCCCCTATTTTTGGCCATTTTCCCCCCACAAGGAGCCATCCTTCCCCACAGGGAGTGATTTCCCCAGTAGGCCTGGGGAAATTTGGGACTACATAAATGGGGAGGGGTGCATGCCACTCACAGGTGATTTCCAGCCCAGCTCTAGGGCAGGGAGTGCTTCTTCAGAGGTCATGCTGATTGGCAAGCAGGTATCAGAGATAAGGGTTACTTACTGAAAGCCTTGGAATATTTTGTCAGTTTGTCATCCTGGAAATTTTGCATTGCCTGAGACCTCAGTCTGCATAGTAACAAGATCTGGCATAGGACAGGAGTTCTTCTCACATGTGCACCTGAAAACTTCATAGTACAGGAAATTCTCTGGAGGGCAAATGAAGAACCAGTGAAGAAGCCCATCATTGCCTGCCTGCCTGCCTGCCTGATGAAGTCTCTTTTGACAGACTAGAAGTTTCCTAGTAATCAAGACATGACTCAGCAGCAATGGGAGGGCTGAGAGCAGCTGGGGGGGTGGGTTAGGGCCGGGGTACAAGTTCTGTGTCTGCATTAAAGGCACATTGGTTTAGATCTGTTTTGTGGAATGGATGTCTGTGTGCATGGATATAGAGTCTGAGAATCTGAGATTCATGGCAAAATCAAAAACTACTTTGTAGTGTCACTGAGGCAAGATGCTGTGATAACAAAGAAATGGGTCTCTGATATGGGACAGTTGAGGTTTCAGAGAGGGGCAGAACTACTTCTAGGCCAGTTAACTGTGAAAACAAGCACATGAAAAATCCCTCAGAATTATCCAGGTAAAATCTGATCCCTATTCACGTATTATCAAAACTGACATTTTGCTTAGAGGAAGCCCCTATCCTACCTAATCACACATTTTTCATGTTTACAGAGCCCTCTTGGAACAGGAGAGCCTTTTGACCTCTTGCTCCATATGTGAGCAAGAGTTCTGAAAAATATGGGTTCTTGCAAACAAAACAGGCTTCATACACAATCAGGAACATTTTCTTCAGGCTGGACATTGAAAGCATGAAGAATGCAGTGTTGGAGGGGGAGGTACTGGGTGTTCCCCTTTAATGGTGTTCATCATGCCAGCTTTAGTGCCACTTGCTGCAGAGGGTTCTCATTAATAGTCGTGAGGCAGCTGAGAACCAATAGGGAGGGAGAATGCAACAGGCTCCTTGCCTTGCTCCAATGGACTGCATAGACCACCAGCTCTCTTCCAAGTCCTGTCCAAATCCTGGGTTTTTGGTGTGATGACGTTATCCACTTTATCTGTTGTGTGTGTTCTGTACCATCAAATCAGAACCACCTTTCAGTGAACCTAGACAGGGCTTTCTAGGGAAGTGAATTATTTAAGGTGTGATTTACTAGTTCTGTACCCACCACTAAGTGAGTTTAAACAGATGAGCAAGGATTCAGACCTCGGTCTCCTTTGTCCTAATTCAGGACTCTATCCCCTCCATCGCCCTGGCTGTCAAATATAGTTATTTGTTACCTCCAAATAATTTTTTTCTGTAAACATATTTATTGTACATTTATATTTCTGAAAATGTTTCATTTGGATGAGGGAGGCTTTGATTAGAAGCCACTTAAATTGCTATCCTAAATCTGCTTACGTGGGAGTAGTCTGCACCTATGAGCAAAGCCACCCACACAGCCCTCATTCAGTGACACTCCTCCCTGATCCAGAGTCACTTGTCTCCCTCACAGAGAGTTCCCCAGGTATAGTAAAGGCAAGCTGCAATGTTCCCCTCCTCTGGGAGGAGAACGGAAGAAACAAAGGAGTCTGCCTGCAACTTTTGCTTCTCAAATGCTGGGGATGAGAAGCCATGGAAGAGTTTCACAGGGGGAACTTTGCAGACATTAGTGCTGTTTCTCAAGTCTTCATTCATTGTGACAAGG